GTCTTATTGTGATTAATTTAAATAATAAATTAATTAAAAATTATTAATTTAAATTTAGAAGATGTATATTTAAAAATGTAAAAAATGAAGGTTTGAAGCCCTTGTTTTAAGCCTCGGAGCTTCAAACCCATTTCCACTGAATCTGTGAAGGAAGTTAAAGCTGACGTGACAAAGAGAGAATTTTGAAGCCCCGGTGTGAAGCCACGGGGCTTCAAGAATATTTCGAGTGCTCTAAGGAAATGCAAGGTTTAAAAGTATTTGTGAGTTGCTGCCTTGCTGGAGTGGACAGAACTTTTGCAAGGGATTTATCAGCTCCCATAACGTATTTAAGGGAGAAATTCCCTCACTGGAAAATTCTTTATACTTTAATTCTTACATATGCATTATATGCAAAGTTAATGGCCTATTGTCCTGGAATCAATCTAAAATAGATACAGTAGCCATTGTTCACTTCAATTTTTTCCTCTACCATGTTTGTTTTACTTGTTCACTTTAAAAAATAATATTAGTTGATGGTGTTAATTGTTATGACCAGTTTCATCATTATTTTTGTGTCAAAATGATAAACGAGCCTAACAATCACCAAAAATACATACAAGCTATTTTTGACGTGGAAACCCAAACCAAGAGAAAACCACGAGCCTTTTTTTGCGATACCATGCCAACAAGGAGATTTTATTTGTACATTGTACATAATCTTGACATTATCTATCTATTACAATATTTAAAAAGCCATGAATTCTCATTTTTCTTTTACCGCCCATTTGGTGTTCTAGAGAAAATGGTAATTGTGCACTCTATATGGTAATTGAGTAATTACTCAATTAATATTACCGTGAATATAATATTAGTGTAATTATGCTCAACATATAACCATGTAATTTAATATAACCGTGTATAAAAAATGTATTAAAACCGTGTAAAAAAAGGTAACGAATGCTCAACTAAAAATAGTAATTTAATATAACCGTGTAATTAAAATGGTAACGAATGGTAATTTAATATAAACGTATATAAAAAAAGGTAACGAATGGAAATTTAATTTAATTTAGTTACAGTAATTGAGTAATTACTCAATTAATATTACCGTGAATATAATATTAGTGAAATTGTGCTCAACATATAACCGTGTAATTTAATATAACCGTGTATAAAAAAGGTATAAAAAACCGTGTATAAAAAAGGTAACGAATGCTCAACTAAAAATGATAATTTAATATAACGGTGTAATTGAAATGGTAACGAATGGTGATTTAATATAAACGTGAAATAAATTATGCGAATGGTAAATTAATTATACGAATGGTAATAGAAGGTAATTAAAAACGTATATAAAAAAGGTAACTAAAAAATATGTTGGAAGTTTATACTGGCACTTTGAACATAACCTGTAAAAACTTGGAAATAAACTATTAAAAATGTGTATAAAAAAGATAACAAATGGTAATTTAATGTAATTGTTTATTATGCGAATGGTAATTTAATTTAATTAACATAACCGTGCATTTTAATTTGTAATTAAAAATAGGAAAATGCGTATAGAGTTATGTACATTTTTAAATCGTATACCAAAATGGTAATAAAAAAGGAACACTGAAATTCATAAATTCATGTAGTATAAATACTCTACCTTACCGGGCCAGAAAAGTAAACGAGTGTTCAGGAAACGAGAGTTTTAAAGAGTTTTAATTAATCGGTGCTCCACCATCGTTTTTGTATGAACATGAGAATGATTACCGCCCTAAAAAATGTTCATGAGAATTCCGGATTGTTGATGATGAAGCTAAGGGCGATTAGAGTTTACCACGTTCCTGCTAAATCTCAAGGGCCGGAATCATTAGATACTGTTTTCCACGACTTAGAGGTTAGTTCTACATTGTTTTATATTTTACATATAATAAATCTTTAAACAAAAAAATAAATTTAATTATAGATTAACGTTTTATATTTGTTATTAGGGCAATCGGATCCATGGTCAGGTCAAAGATACTACTATAAGCACATTCAAACAAGTTTTGCAAGAAAATGCGATTTAGTTAATCATGAGGGTCAGAGTTATACGCAATTTCCAAGGCACAAAAACTACCAATCACCTTGCATGCTCCAATTTTTGGGAAAGACCAAGATTCAAGAGCTATCGGGAAATGGATTTCCTAATTTTTGATTCTACTTTAAGAGTTTTGAAGATGTACTCAAAACAAAGTTTGCTGACCAAGTCTTTTTAGTTGGTAAGAGTCATTGACATTTACATAACTTAAATACTTACACATATGAAATACATTTCATGTATTATGATTATGATAATAGAAAAGGTAACATGTGAACCTTTAATATTAATATGGTAATAATATGATACCGTATAATAATAGTACGGAGTAACAATAAACGTAATAATTATTATTGGTACAGTGTATAATAAAAAATGTAACATGTGGAACTTAATTTAAAATTATGAATTATTAATGAAGTAATTTTGTACCTAATAAATTTGGTACATTGTAATAAAAATGGTAAATGTAAAACTTTAATTATTAATTAGTTAATTTCATATTTTACAATTTTTTGTATCGAGTATAATAAAAAAATAACATATGAAAGAATAATAACATGGTTATAATATGGTACCGAATAATAATAATAATAATAATAATAATAATAATAATAATAATAATAATAATAATAAACGTAATAATAGTAATAAAGCTAAGTTAGTTTTGTACTATTACTGTGTATAAAATAAATGAAAGTGTTGACTTGGTTTAAAAAAATGTATTCTCATACCTTATATATGTTACCAAAATTATAAATTATAATATTAATTATTAATTATTAATAAGGTAATTTCATACCTTATATTTTTTTGTACGTGTAATAAAAAAGGTAACATTTAGAATAATAAGAATAGTATGAAAATAATATGGTACCGTATACTAATAATCATCATAATAATAAACGTAATAATAATCAAGGTATGTTAGTTTTGTGCTATTACCATGTATAAAATAAATCAAAGTGTTGACTTGATTTTAAAAAAATGTATTCACACACCTTATATTTTTTTACCAAAATTATAAATTATAAATTATAAAATTAATTATCAATTATTAATAAGGTAATTTCATACCTTATATTTTTTGGTATTGTGCAATAAAAAAGATAACATGTGAAACCTTAATTATTAGTTATTAATTATTAATTATTATTTATTAATAAGGCAATTTGATACGTTATAGATTTTGGTACCATGCATAATAAGAAAGGTAGCATGTGAAAGAATAAAAAGAATATGGTAATAATATGGTACCGTATAATAATACTCCCTCCGTTCCCCTAAGATGTTCTCATTTTGACTTTTGGTGGTTTTTAAAGAGAGTTGAAAAAAAGTGAAAGTTTACCAAAATACCCTTAATGAAAAATGGGTGGAGTGTATTAAATGAAGTGGGTGAGGTGTAATAAATAAAGTAAGTGGGGGTAGTTGTGATATTTTAATTGTTAAAAAATGAAATGAGAAGATCTATTGTGGACAAAGAAAAAGGGCTATTGGGAAGATCTATGGGGGACGGAGGGAGTAATAATCATTATAATAAACGTAATAATAATAAAGGTAAGTTATAGAGTAATAATAATAATCATAATAATAAACATAATAATAATAATAATAATAATAATAATAATGTAACAAATTATAGTGGCTTGAAGATTTCGATATGCAACGAACACAATGTTCCCACAAATTATACGAATAATAAATTATGATATGGATTCCCATCTTGGATTCCCATCTTGTTTGAATCCAATTTCATCTCAATGACGACTTATACAATTATTAATTTAAAATATTAAAAAAAATAAAAAAAAATGTAGTTTACAAAAGGTTGTTTGAAATTTCTAAGCAAAAAAACTTTTGTACCTTAAAATAATAAAATCTCTATATTCTATTACATATCATAATTTATCATTAAAAATGATCTTATTTTAGTAACGTAAGTATGACCCGTGCAGCGCACGGGTGTGATACTAGTAGCCATTGATGGAGCGTTTTAACTCTATAAATAATAAATAATACAAGGAGTATATTTTTAAAGTAATGTGAAAGAGTATAATTACATGGTAGTGTAGGAGAAAATATGGAAATTGGCCTTCTCATATGGGCCACACCATGAAGGTTTGGCAGCGGCCCAATTCTACCCGAATCCGACTTTTACCGACCCGACCGGAGCATGTAATATCCGAGTCCGAACCGAAAAATCAAATATCCAAAACCGATCTGAAAAAATTTAAACCGAACCCAACTTTTGTCGGGTCGGGTTTGGGTTAGTATATTTGACCGACCTGACCTATACCCGACCCGACATGTACCCAACTTTTAATACTCCCTCCGTTCCACAAACCCTTCTGGTTTTGACTTTGGGGAAAAATAAGGAAAATGTAATTTTGGTTGGCTTCTAATTTTGCCCCTGATGTGATGGGAAAAAGTAAGATGTGATAGTTTGGTTATTAGTAAAAGAGTTTAATGTGATAGGTAGGGTATGAAAAAGTATGAGTAATAGTGGTTTTTTTAATAGAATGTGAAAGTGTTTTGTGGAAAGCAAAAAAAAACGAAAGAGGAAGGGTTTTGTGGAACGGAGGGAGTAAGTTATTAGAACCCTAAGTTCCTATATTTTATGTGTTTTTGATGTACATATTTTTAATGTTTTAAAACTTATTGCATTTTTTGTGTTTCATTTTTTTTGTGGTTTAATCTTGTGTGTCCTACATATGTTATTTTCTTTATAATTCGTCTATTATTATTTGAAACTTACTTTTTATTTTTTAATGGTCATAATTATTGTTGTTAATATCTTAAATTTATAGTCGTCTTTAAAATTTTAAACTTATAATGAATTTCAATCTTAAAATTTTCAAGAATACTTTTATAGGTATTCAAACCCAAATTTGACTGTAACCGACCCGACCGAATCTTGAACTGAATCCGAAATCGAAAAAATAACTATCCGAAACCGACCCGCCAAAATCAAACCCGAACCCGACCTACGTCGGGTCGGGTTTCACTATACTCAAACCCGACCGAACCCGACCCGTTGCCATCCCTAGGAGCGGGTCATTGAGTATAGGGCGTGAAAAGGGGTGTACATTTTTGAGAACCAGTTTGGTTTCATGCCTGACAGATCGACTACAGAGGCCATTCACTTCGTGCGGAGGTTAATGGAAGAATACTGCAGGGCTAGGAAGAAGGACCTTCGTATGGTGTTTATTGATCTTGAGAAGGCGTACGATAGGGTGCCAAGGGAGGTGTTATGGAGGTGCCTTGAGTCGAGAAGAGTTCCCATGGTGTACACTCGCGCGATCAAGGATATGTACGGTGGGGCTAAGACTAGGGTAAGGACCTCTGGGGGCAACTCTGAGTCATTCTCGGTAGGGATGGAGTTGCACCAAGGGTCTGCCCTTAGCCCTTTTTTGTTCGCCTTGGTGATGGACGTCCTGACACAAGGTGTTCAAGAAGGTGTCCCATGGTGCATGTTTTTTGCGGATGATATTGTGCTTATCGACGACATGCGTGAGGGACTAAATGATAAGTTGGAACTATGGTGCCTTGCCCTTGAGACGAAAGGATTTAGAATAAGTAGAAACAAGACTGAATACATGGAAACGGAATCATAAGTGGAAGTTAGGATTGACTCTCACCTAGTGCCTAAGGTAGACAAGTTTCGATATCTTGGCTTGGTAATTCAAGCAGATGGGGAGTTAGACGGGGATGTTAGACATCGTGTTGGAGTGGCTTGGGCCAAATGGCGGTTGGCTTCAGGGGTGTTGTGTGATCCAAAGATTTCACCAAGGATGAAAGGTAAGTTCTATCGATCCGAAGTCAGACTTGCTATGTTATATGGGGTAGAGTGTTGGGCGGTTAAGAAGACTCATGTGTGTTGTCTGCATGCGGCGAAGATGCGGATGTTACGATGGATGTGTGGGAAGACAAGGTTGGATAGGATTTCGAACGAAGTTATCTGACGTCAGTTAGGCATGGCGCCGGTGGAAGATAAGCTGCGGGAAGCGAGGTTGAGATGGTTTGGTCATGTGAGACGGCGGAATGCTGACGCCCTTGTACGGAGATGCGAGTGGATTACGGTTGTCGCGGGAAGTAGGGGAAGGGGTAGTCCTAGGAAGAATTGGAAGGAGGTGATTAGGTAGGATTTAGGACTTCTCACCCTGACTAAGGATATGGTTTTAGATAGGAATCTTTGGAGAACTTAGATTAGGGTAGCTAGATAGGTGCTTTAGGGGTTTTTTGTAGTGTGTTTTGTTTGGTTGGAACTTTTTGCTATTGCTTACAGGACTTTCTTTCCATTGTTCTTGGTGCTTTATCTGTGTTATATTGTGATTCTTATCATATTTTTTGTGCAGTTGGAGCCGGGGGTCTCTTGGAAACATCCTCCCTATATTCGAGTAGCGAAAAGGTGAGTGTACACACACCCTTCCCAGACCCTACTGTAGTAGGATTCAACTGGGTTATTGTTGGCCTTCTCATCTTGAAGGTGAAGGTTCCTTTTATTGTAATACCCCGTATTAAGATGGGAATGTGAAGAGCTCAAAACGATTGATAGTACTACTCATACCAACAAGGTGCATCTTCTTTTCGAGAGCTCATCACCTAGAAACTCCAAGGTTAAGCGTGCTTGACCTGGAGAAATTCTTGGATGGGTGACCCCCTGGGAAGTTTTCCTTGGGCGCGCACGAGTGAGGACAAAGTGCGCGGGAAAGACTTGTGTTGGTTTGTGGGGCCAGTCTACAATCCTATGAGCGGACACTTACGGCCAGGGTGTTACAAATGGTATCAGAGCAACCCTGCGACCGTGACGGGCCAGAAGAGCTTAGTTCACCTAGCGGGGAAGATCTAAGAGTTAAAAAAAGGATGCAACGAGGACGTTGCATTCCTAAGTGGGGGTGAATGTAATACCCCGTATTAAGATGGGAATGGGAAGAGCTCAAAAGGATTGATAGTACTACTCATACCAACAAGGTGCATCTTCTTTTCGAGAGCTCATCACCTAAAACCCCAAGGTTAAGCGTGCTTGACCTGGAGAAATTCTTGGATGGGTGACCCCCTGGGAAGTTTTCCTTGGGCGCGCACGAGTGAGGACAAAGTGCGCGGGAAAGACTTGTGTTGGTTTGTGGGGCCAGTCTACAATCCTATGAGCGGACACTTACGGCCGTAGATGTTTGGGTCAAATAATATTTTCCATCATTAGTAAAAATAGTTTTTTAATAAAAAGAAAATTATACTCCCTTCGTTCCCTTAAAAGATTCCAGTTTTGACTTTCCAAATTAAGAAAAGTATACTCCCTTAGTACTACTCATACCAACAAGGTGCATCTTCTTTTCGAGAGCTCATCACTTAAAACCCCAAGGTTAAGCGTGCTTGACCTGGAGAAATTCTTGGATGGGTGACCCTCTGGGAAGTTTTCCTTGGGCGCGCACGNAATAATATTTTCCATCATTAGTAAAAATAGTTTTTTAATAAAAAGAAAATTATACTCCCTTCGTTCCCTTAAAAGATTCCAGTTTTGACTTTCCAAATTAAGAAAAGTATACTCCCTTAGTACTACTCATACCAACAAGGTGCATCTTCTTTTCGAGAGCTCATCACTTAAAACCCCAAGGTTAAGCGTGCTTGACCTGGAGAAATTCTTGGATGGGTGACCCTCTGGGAAGTTTTCCTTGGGCGCGCACGAGTGAGGACAAAGTGCGCGGGAAAGACTTGTGTTGGTTTGTGGGGTCAGTCTACAATCCTATGAGCGGACACTTACGGCCATAGATGTTTGGGTCAAATAATATTTTCCATCATTAGTAAAAATAGTTTTTTAATAAAAAGAAAATTATACTCCCTTCGTTCCCTTAAAAGATTCCAGTTTTGACTTTCCAAATTAAGAAAAGTATACTTTTTGTTGACTTTCTAATTTTTCCCATTATGTGATGGGTAAAAGTAAAATGTGATAGTTTGGTTATTAGTGAAAAAGTATGATACTCCGTATAATAGGTGGGTATAAAAAAATAGGGGTAAGATTGGTTTTTTAATAGAAAAAGGAAGTGTTTTAGGGAATTGGAAAAAAATGAAAGAGAAAGGCTTTTCTACTCTCTCCGTCCCATTTTATAACGCATGTTTCGGTTTACGATGTTTGACTAAAATTATTTTCAAATCATTTTATATGACAAATGATATAGAATTAAAAAATAAAAATTGCATATTAAAATACTACATCAAAAAATATACAAAACTAGTAGTGACAATAGTACTTTATTTTATCAAATAGCTAACGAAAATAGATAAAGAAAGTAAATGAAGTTTGACCTTGTGAGTAATGAACAGACATTATAATTTGGGACGGAGGAAGTAATATATGATAAATATAATCATCTTTTTATATTTTTTTATTAAATAATAAGTTATTTTTAAAATTTGGCTCAAATTTTATTATGTCTACATTATACTATTATTTGAGTTTTAATCTTTTGTCGAACAATTTAAAAATAGTAGCACTACTTTGAAATTTCATTTTGTTATCATGAGTTCACTGTAACTTATGAGATACTCCGTATAAACTAAGTTAAACAAGCATTTCTTACATTTAATCTTACATTTTTTATTTTTTATGTTTTTTGTTGAAATATACTTTCCATTTATAAAAAATACTAAATATTTTTGTGATAATTTAAAGTTTAAATTAGCAGTGTATGTTTTCATCCCGATTTATCCCGAAACAAATACCGAACCCTCCTGAACCATACCGAACCAGAATTTCGGGTTAGGGATTGGTACAATGTATAATCTCATACCGAACCAAAATAAAGTGCGATATCGGTACGGACTAAATACCGTACCGTACCATTCTCATCCTAGATCCTCCCCTAACACCCTTGCATTGGGATATTCTTAATTGAAAACTGATAATATCATTTTAAAAGGATGTCGATAGTTTTCATATAAATATAAACAAATACATTGATTATCAAAATTTGGGTTACTTATATAGCGTTCCAATTTATGTTTAACTATTCAGTTTTGAGTATTGTTATATTCACTTCCATTTTGACCAAATTTAATCTTTTTAGGTTAAGTAGACGTACAATTTTGTCCTCAAAGATTGGCTTGTGTCTAAATTCCATTTTTTATATTTTTAACGGTAAACTTGTCAAATTAATATAAATGAAATGGATTTAATCAAATTGAGAGAAGACATAGCAACACCCTATCACTTTTTTAATCTAATATTCTGATTTTCAAATTTCTAAATAAAGTCGTACACACAATGGGAATGAGAGATGAAAACGTGGTTGTAGATGCCCAAGATAGAAAGATAGTTTTTATTAGGGTTATAATGCAAACAATGCATGATCTATTCGTACTGGGTATGGGAGAACCCACGTTGAGTCACACGGGACCAGTGGATCACGCGACCCCACAGAAATTTTGTAATTTGTATGTACCTATAGGCATATGTACTTAGTGTTGCTATATATACTGAAAGCGCATAATTATTGAAGTTTGGATGAGCAGCTCGAATGGAAGAAGTACCCATATCCATCCTAAGTGTCCTGGGTTCGAAACTAACTCTGAAGCGTTTTTTCCTTTATTATTTTGGATTCCCCACTTAAGGATTGTTTTTGTGTTTTTTTGTTCTTCACTCTTCAAGAGAAGTAGTTTTTTTAATTTTTAAACTTATTCTTTTCAATTTGTAATTTGTGAACTAGGTTTATATTTTGTAAATTTGGGAGGTTTTGTTATAAATTTATAATGTTTTTAATTATTTGAATTTCAATATAGGAGGCAAAGGTATTATAATAAATCACTTTCGAAATATGAAAAACAGACCTTATCAATTGTATGATGTGTTTTTATATTTGTAATGAAAGACTATTATTAATTTGTGATTTTTATGGTAAACGTCAACTTTAATGTTATATATTATGAAGTATTTTTTTATTTAATGTTAGAAATATGATGGTTTGATATGAACTTTCTAAAATGCAACCTCATGTTCAATTGTCCTGGGTCTGCTCCTGCCCACGGTCGTGCAATAATTGGACAAAATTGAATCCTTTTTTGGAAGAATAAATTGAATCCTTTAATTGTTCCAAAAAAAATGAAATTGTCCATCTTCTGGTCATCCCTTCCTCCCTGCACAATGAGATTACATAAATGAACAACATATGGAATTCGTGTGTTATAAGCCTAAAAGGTTTGACGTTTCACACCTTCATTTTAGTATTTGTTGTGAAGGGAAACCTCTTGCTTCTTTTACTCTATAGGTCAAGGAGTCCCAAAAGGAGAAACTTGAATGAAAGGAATGAAAATCTACTAATATACAAAGGTGAAGGGGAAAAATGAACAGTGCATTTTCCCGCCTAAGCAATTGGGTTCGGATTGGGCATTCGGATAGGGCATTAATAATCGGGTATCCAAATTTGTAAAAGAGAAAAATTGACCAATTAATATTTGGGCATAAATCGGGTATCCAATTCTTTGGGAAAAAGCAATTAATCATTTCGGTTATCCAAGCTTTTGAATAATGCTTTGGAAAACCAAATTTGTATGCTTTTAAAGCATAACCTTTAATTCATTAAAAGAAGCATTAGATGTATTTTTTTATATTGACGGTTTGGGAGTCTCTTGGTATCCATTAGTGTGAAAAAAAAGCATTGGGAGTTGAGTTTATTTGCATTTAACGGCTTGGCCGTATTTTTGAGTGTTCCCAAGGAAAAAAATAATTATTCTCCTCACTCCATACAAACAATTGTTATTTATAAAGCCAAATATTTATTCTCCTCACTCCATACAAACGTGTTTTTCCGGGACTATTTACCAATCTTGAAAACTTCCAAAGTGATCAAAAAAACATCAATATTCATGTACGAGCTATACATGTCTACCATGTTAATTCTTTTGGAAGAAATGTGGAATCTATGAAAATTGTGTTTCATGATGTTGAGGTATGTGATCTTTTTCTAACCTAATGATTCCAGTTTTTTTAAGGCTTCAATTTTCGTTTATGCAACAAATAAATAACGTACGTGAAAATTCTTAAAAGATACGGAGTATTATATTGCCATGAAAAAGTTAATTTTTCGCTAACAAATGAAATTCTTATATTTTCCCAAAGAGATGTTAATTTTTGCTGGAAAAAAATGAAGCATCTTAAAATTATATGATTTCAAAATTACAGAGTGGTTTTTAAATAAGTTTTTATTTAACATAAAATTATATAACATTCTTGAGGAAACAATTTTCTCTACAAATGTAAAAAAATCTATTGAAAATATATAATTCTAAAAAGTAAACTAATATTGACATGTTAGTTTAACAAATTAGAAGAATCTCTTTAAATTTTTGAAGTGATAAATGAATTCTTAAATGAAATATATATTTGAATGAATAAAGATGGTGGAATCCAAAACAGATTTAAGAAAAACACATGTATTTCTCAATCCCTTAACTCCTGTAAAAAAATGAATACTTAATTTTGTGATTAATTAGATGTTCAAAAATCAAATGAAATGTTGAAATCCGACCCAAATTTCAAAAAAAAAAGTGATGTTTATTCTAAATCCCTTAGGCCCCGTTTGGTACACAGAATTCATATTATGGAATTGGAATTGAGCACTTCAATTCCAATTCTGGTGTTTGGTGGTACAAAAATTATTTGAATTTGGAATTGATTGTGCCAAAAATGAATTAGAATTGGTAGAATTCATTTCTATGGAATTGAATCCAATGGAATTTCAATTCCAATTCAATTCCAATTCTGTCAATTCCTTATACCAAACGGACCCTTAACTCCTTTAAAGAAAAATGAATATTCAATTTTGTTTGAAATTAGATCTTCAAAAATTGAAGAAAATGGTAGAACCCGTCTGAAATTTCAAAAAAAAAAAAAAAGACATTCATATTCTAGATCCTTCAAATCCTTTGAAGACAAATGAATATTTAATTTTGTCTGAAATTTAGATCTTCAAAAATCGAAGAAAATGATTAAATCCGAAACAGATTTCAGAAAAAAACACATGCATATTCCAGATCCTTCAAATCATTTAAAGAAGAATAAATATTTAATTTTGTTTGAAATTAAGATCTTTGAAAATCGAAGAAGATGAAATAATCTACTTAAAAACTTACCCAGTGAGAGAAATCGAAGCTTTCCATAGTTGATTGTTTGGAAATTCATGGAATCGATTAAAACGGATCGGAAGGTGATGGATTTTAGTTTGAATGTAGAGAGAGAGAGAGAGAGAGAGAGAGAGAGAGAGAGAGAACGAATGGAAGATGAGGGGGCGACCAGGGTTTGGGAAAATAACAAGGGGTTGGGCCGGGTATATTTTTAAAATTTGGGCTGGGTATATTTTTTTAGGATTGGGCTATTGTTTGGGTTGATATTACCTTAAAATATTATGATTTTCAACATAAAATTCAATATTTTTGTTAAATATGTTTAATTCACCAATTATATGTAACTAATTGGAATAAGATTGAAAAGTTATTAGTTTTTTAATTGATTAGATTGTGTAAGGATTTGAACAATACGTTTAGCCCAAAATGCTTTTTTCATTTTGTAGTTTTACTTATATTTTTAAAAGTAATGTTTAAATTTTTCTTTATTAATGGTAACATGTACGTTATTCGCGTAAAACAGAGATTGGAAGTTACTTTCAAATTACTGTGATTATTGCAAAATTAAAGATGAATTAGACGCCATAGAACGATGTTGGAATTGCAAAAAATGGAATCATTTGGGGTTTCTTAGCATTGGTCTCATTGACAATTCCTGGGTTTATTTCCTATGTCGTGAAGAGTTTGGACTGTCATCGCAACAAGCACTGCAACCAAGTCTTTCAAGCCAACCAAGACGCTCGATTTGAATCAAAAGGCTGAACAAAAAAATTTATAATGTTGATTATATTATCTATTGAGATATATTATATGAAAGAATTTGATTATCTTTTTTGTCATTTTGGCATGGAGAAAATTTTGATGAAATGTTTGTAAGCACGGTAAGATGTGTATTATTTGAACTTTTTTTTGTGAATTCCTTATAGAGGAATTTATCAAGTGGAACTATGTTTTTGCATGTACTATTAATTTATAAAATATTTAATGCTTTTTTGACTATGTTTTTTGTTCTATTGTAGAATGGTTAAATAGTTTGTACTTTATTAAAAGTTTCTAATTGCGTGAAATGTTATGCGTGATTTCATAAAATTATTTAATATGGTTTTTTAAATCATGGCTTATATGAATTATTGAAACTTAGAAAATGATATGTTGGGTTCCTCAAATTTGACTTCGACAAATGGATCTGTTTCGAATCGTCATAATTTATGTGGTTCGTCTTCTCATTCAACTCCTATGAGGAAGCTCACAAGTTCAAGCATTATCACTCCAAACTCTTTGAGCAATATCACAAATGGTACATGTCGATATTAGTTTATTTTACAATAGTCAAAAAAAATTTGTTATGATTCATTTAACTTACATAATTTTTTTCTATAGTCACCACATCAAGGCCTTTCGATCGATTCAAGAGTTTTTTTTGAACACCGACTGCAATACTTCTTGCTCAAGTGTTGATACGACAAGTTTGGGGCAAAACAATAGTCTCCTATATCAAAGTCAACCGTTGTCAAAACGTAAACGTGTTGAAAACCCAAGTGAGCAAAACGAAATCCATTTTCTACTTCTACAATTAATCTTTGGATTTATTTAATTTTTTAAAATTAAATGAATTTAGTGGGAGAACTTCTTAGTACTTCTCGAAATCATCAATCAGTTCTCATTGATGCGGTCATTCAAAAAACTTGGAACGTTGATTCTGGCCTTGCAAATGATCACGCTGACCCGGTTGAGAAACAAGCTATGAGAAATTTAGAGATTGAATTTGAAGAATGTGACAATTCAAACCTTCGGATACTCAGATTCCGTTTAAGTTTCAAAAGAAGCAGCTCCCTATTATGACTTTCTACGCAACGACAATTAACACAAGTCAATGCCAATCGTTGAAGCATGTGGGAAGAAACCAGTTTTCAGTCACGGCCAACTTTACGTTGCTGTCTCCCGAATGACTAATCGACGTGATTTGAAGGTTTTAATTTGTAATGATGACCTACAACCTTCAAATAACACGAGAAATATAGCGTATAAAGAAGTTTTTCAGAATATTTAATGTAGTCTTTTTTTGTTTTTGTTATGCATTCATCAATATTACTATATAATACTTTTAATGCTTATATTTAAAACACTTTTGTTTCATTCTCTTTATTTTCAGTATAAATTTAAAACTTATTTTTCGTTTACTATGCCAAATTAATGACCGTGCAACGCACGGGTTAGAGAACTAGTATAATTCAAACCAGAAGCCCAAGTCCTTCACGAAAGATGAGAGAGCATAAATTACAGGACAATTCAATTTAATTAAATATTGGTGTAGACTCTATCATATTAGAGGTCATAGATTTGATCCCCACCGGGGGCAATAACTCTACAGGTTTCAATAGGACCAAACGTGCCAGACTGCCACATTCTTGTGAAGTTGGATATTTTATAACTTCAAGTTAATAGAGAATTGAACTAATAATGCTACATAATTAGAGGCTTAAAAGTGCCTTTTCCCTTATTCAGCATTGTGTCAAAACCAATTAGGAGTATTATATAAATGATTCAAGGAAGAATAATATTATTACTCCGTATTATTTTTCCAAAACAAAACCAAACATATATATGAGACATACAAATTACAATATAACTCACCCACAAATTGTCATTAATATTAATAATCTTCAAGAGACAACAAACTAATCCCAAAAAAAATCCTCTTCATCAAATTTGAAACCAGTCAAACTAGTCTAGTTTCAGGAGGTCAAGCAAACATGACTTATAGCAACCTCGTTGGCAACCTTTCACGTATGCAATCGATGAACGACATAAATCCGTGATGCATTTTGAAGTACAATCTTTCATCATTTCCGAACGCGAAACTTGTGGAGACGGAGCGACATGGTCATCAACAACAGTGCCCCATGGAATGTCGCGTGCCTCGGCCGCGACAACCAACCATAGCATCAACATGAAAGTCACATACAAAACATTTGAAGTCGTAGTTGCCATTTCTAGCTACCCTCAACAAGCTTATTAGTGATGAATTGGGAATAATATTTATTATTACCTATATTTGCTATATGATCTCACCTCAACAAGCTAGTTGTCTATATATACATTGATGGCAAATAGTCCGTTATTAGTAAATTAAATATTGCTGAAGAAATGGAGTGGTTAATTAAGAAATAAATTTAATAAAGCGTTAACTTAAGGTAAATTAAACTAAATCTGTTGCAATTTTGTAGTTAATTGTTTTGAAAGAATTGCGATTTTGCATTTAATTATGAAAGAATTGTTATTGGGAGAAATTCTCGTGTAGTTTTGATTATTACAATACGAACAGAAGCTGTATATATATATAATAAGATCACACATGCATGCTAGGAACTCTATATGTAAACTAAATACAAAAGGAAGAAAATCAATATAAATCGAGAAACTATCAAAATTATATATACAGAAATGGACGGGTGGAACGTAAATATTAACAGATAAATAAATAAACCAGACGCCCACCAGACGTCGATAAGGTTCGGGATCCGCAAAAGCTGGAGCTTGGGAACGAACCAAATGATGATTTGGCTCCATCGGTGCGTCCAATGGTCTGACACCCAGCAGACCGGCCCAAGTGATAATATCTAAGGAATACTTTCGTTGCCAAAGATTAATCTCCTAACGCGCTTCGAGCCACTTCAATGCCAAGGAATAACTTCAAAGTCCCCAACTCCTTCATATGGAATCAGTCAGACAAATACAATTTGAATTTTGCTATCATATTTGCATTATCTCCAGCAATAATCAAATCATCAACATATATCACTCCCTTTTTTTAACAAAAGAAAACCAGGTTGGCTTGATGAGTTTGTACACCATATATATCAAAAGAGTTTCATGAGAAACGTGGTGGCAGCCGCATATAATCCTCATCTTGAAGATCTTCGTGTAAAAATGCATTGTGAACGTCCATTTGATGCAACTCTCACCCCTTAGAAGCTGCAAGAGCTAAAAGTGTCTGCACAGTACGTGGGTAACTGACCACCGGGCCGGGGCAAACGTCTCATTGTAATCAACTTCCTCTACCTAAAGATTGCCAAGTATGACCAGCTTGGCTTTGTATCGCTCCACACTTCAATCAGATTTTCGCTTGATTTTGTACACACAACTTGCAACCAAAGAGTTTTTTATGACGAGGATGAACAAGAGACTACGTCACATTAGTATTAAAACATATGTTGTCATTTCATAATGTAGTACTTAAATTTTTTATCTCATAAATAGTACTTGAATAATGTCTAGTAATGGTGGACATTTATTTTGAACAATAACCAGTGGACAATAACCAATAATACTACATTAAGAAATAAAAAAATATGGTACTACATTGAAAAAATCAATATGTTTTACTAATGTTTAAGTAAATTCCCCAATAAATTATTCATTTGGCAAAAAATGCTTAGTAACTTTGAGATGACAATACAAAGTGGAAGTTATATACTCCGTAAATGATTCAAGGAAGAACATTATTATTACTCCGTATTATTTTTCCGTATTAAAACCGCACATTCAAATGAGAGCATAAAATAAATACCAAGTGCGGAGTATTATTATTTATTTATTTTCTTAGTTCCATATATATGTGTATGTGTATATATACAACACACACATACATTCTAAATTTTTGACATTCTACTAATAAAGTTAATTTATTTTAGTTATTTAATTTAATAAATTTATTATATGCGATATTATTTTTTTATAGTTATAAGATACATCATTTTTAATAGAAATGCATTTTTAATTTTAATATAGATATATTATTTGTTTTTTTCATTTTAGTATAGATGCATTATTTTTCTTTTTTTATTGCAAAGTTAGGGTTTTTAACTCTTCTTAGATATTGAAAATTAGTGAAACAGAAAATGATGAATATTTCAATAATCCATAACTTTATTTTTTGAAATAAAGGAAATGGTGAATAGATTTAAAATTAAAATTTACTAATTATTTTATTTTTATAAACATAACCTTTATATAATGTATGTTACAATAATGAAAATATCATGAAATTAGTAATTATTTTAGTGAGTAAGTCAAAAGGTTAGGAGATGAAAAGTTTATAAACTATAATAAAATAGTGAATACTCCACTCACAAATTGTCACGTTAGGAGTATTTAATATGAAATTTAATATGCGCACGTGACTTGACATGTGGTGATAAGGAACACGCGTGGCATGACATGTGTCACATGAATATAACTCCACCCTTAAATTGTCATTAATATTAATAATCTTCAACAAACAACAAACTAATCCCCAAAAAATTCTTCATCAACAAATTTGAAATCAAGTCAAATCACTCTAGTTTCAGGAGGTCAAACAAGCATGACTTATAACAGCCTCGTTGGCAACCTTTTACATATGCAATCGAAGAACGACACATGTTTGTAATACATTTTAAAGTACATTCTTTCATCATTTCCATAAGCGAAACTTGTGGGGACGGAGCGACATCGTCATCCACAACAATGTCCCATGGAGTGTCGCGTGCCTCGGCCGCGACAACTAACAATATCATCAACATAAAACTCACATACAAAACATTTGAAGTAGTTGCCATTTCTAGTTAACCTCAACAAGATTAT